GCTCGGGAAAGATCGAACAAGAGGGGGTCGGAGCAGTGCTACGCCCCCCGGAGGAGGAGGAGGAGGAGGAGGAGGAAGAGGAGGAGGTGCAGGAGGGGCAGGAAGAGGAGGAGGAGGAGGAGGAAAAATGAGGGAGAAGAGAAAAGAGAGGATGAGAGGGGAGGAGGAGGGAAGCGGGAGGATGAGGACGAGGACGAAGAGGATGGATGGCGAGGAGGAGATCAGGGGGAAAAGAGGAGAAGAAATGTAGGGGGAAGAACAGGGAGAGGCGAAGGAGGAGAGGAGGGCGAGGAGAGGGGAAGGAGGAGGAGGAGGGGGGGAGGTGGAGCGGAAGAACAGAAGTACGTAGGAGGAGAAGGAGGGGTAGGAGGGAGGCAGGGCAAGTTAAGAAGGCGAAAAAGGAGCCCAAACACCACGCGCGAGCTCCTCCAGTGCAGAGCCTACGGTGGTACAGAGCGTCGCGGGGACAACGCCAACAGGGCGAGCCGAACAGCGCGTAGCTGACGATCACCCTGCGGAGTGACACTGAACAGAGCGAAGCTGGTAGCGAACACTCAAATCGTGAAGACGAACAACGCGCAACTGACTGACAACAATCCCAGATGATCTGCCATGTATGGAAGGACCGCAAGCTTCTCAAACCAAACCTGGCGACGGATGTGTATAGCCTGCTGCGTGATCTCACCTTCCTTCCCAAAAGAATGATTCGAGTGTGATTCCTCCCCGCTGAGCTGTTAACCGTTCAAGATCGGTTACTTGAGCCGACATCCGACCAGATGCCGATGGCCGATATCGTGAGAGGGACGTGTGCCCAGGCCGCTCGTGCACTGCAGAAACGACAGCTTGGCACAGTCGGCCTTCTGCAGCAAAGCCATATGCTGCCACTCGGGCACGTTGCAGGTTGGCTGCCGAGGGAACGGGAAAGGGGAGCGAGGAGGCAAACATCGGGGAGGGGAAATCGGCGCTGTCGTCGCTGCAGCATCGATATCGTCACCACCTCGCCACATCACCATCACCACTGCCATCATCATCACCATCATGACCATCATCATCATCACCAACAGCACCATCATCAACATCGACATCACCAGCAGCACTACCATCATCGTATCACCATCATGACCACCATCATCATCACTGGCAGCACCATCATTAACATCGGCATCACCACCATCACCGTCAGCATCTGGTTCATGTTCAGGTCCCCCTTTCCAATTCCTCGTCCTCGCCCACCCTCATCATCCTTTTCCCCTCATCCTCATCCGCCTCCCCTCATGTTATCCTAATAACCCCTCCTCCTCCTCCTCCTCCTCCTCCTCCTCCTCGCCATCCTCCTTCTCATCCGTCCTTCCACAAAATCCCTCCCCTCCTCCTGCGAAAGACCGGGAAAGACCAGAGACCCAACCCTACCAGTATTCCACAGGATAGAGGCGGTTGATGTTTTTCCCCCCATCGCATTGAGAAAGTGCCAACACCGTTAGCGCCAACACGTTGCGAACCGAAAAAGCAGCGGTAAAGGTGAGGGTGGAGGTACGAAAGAGTACACATACACACACACACACACATACACACACACACACACACGCCATCGCGAAACCCGCCCGGCGAGAGGCAGAAGCCAAACGCCAAAGGGCAAAATATTCGCGATAGAGGACGTGGGCAACCTTCTCGAACTCAAGAGCAGAAGATCACCTCGAACCGTCTGTGAATGCCCAATCGGCAAAAAGGAGAAAGAAAGGATTGATCGCACAAACAGCAGGTGTAGGTCCGTCGTAGCGAAAGGTTAACCCAAATAAAGTTTTAACAGCGCCTCGAGCTGGTTCTCGGGCCTACATGGAACCGTTGGGTGCAAATCTGGAGGAAGGGCGAGACTGAGGCACACACGAAGGCACAGGCAACGGCACAGGGCTCAGGTGCGGGAATGCCTCGCAGGAGCACCTCCAGCGTCCGCTATGGGGAAGCAACGCGCCAAACGCGGCCGCGAAATGTAAATTTGACCGTCAGTAACACCAACTCGTTTTCTAAAGATGAGGTGCTTCACCAAAACCAATACGCGTAGTAAAATCAAAGAATTCGCGCAATCAATTCACTCTCCTTTATTTGGGCGGAGGGTCACCCCGCTTCGAGATCCCCCCCGTGGCGGAATTACCCAGACTGGAGTTCTCGACCCGAAGAATTCATATCGCCTCCAGCTGGGCCTGGTATTAACCAGCGCAGCGAGCCCGTGGATAAGGTCCGATCGGAGAGAAGTGGTCTCGGATGCCGCAATTTGTTGGATCTCGCGCACAAGCCGTCCAATGAGGCCAAACTGTCTCTCAGTGTAAGTTGCCACCTAGTCTCTGAGCTCAGCAATGTCATGAGTGACAAAGCTGAGGCGTAACAAATCGAACCCTGAGAACGCCGACGCCCTATCCGACGGCTGTGGGTGTGTTGGTCGCTCAAATCGATCAGGTCGATCTCCCTTTATGGTCGAACGCTGTGTGAGGTGCCAGCGTGCATGCGAGACGTCGCGCGTCTGTGCTCGATGGCACGAACCTGGGATCCAACAAAGATGATGGGATCGAGACCTCCTCCAACTTGAGTTGCCTCAAGCGAAGTACGGAAGGGGTCGAGATCTCCTCCAGCCTCCCCAAGTTGAGGACCGAAACCAGAATGCGACGCAGGAGGCGCGTGAGCCATAGGCTTGTGAGTTCCAGCTGGGGTTGCCCCCACTGAATGAGGGGGCGGAAAGGCCGAAACCAGGCGCAGCCATCGAGTCTTCGAGCATGGTGTCTAAATCTCCAGGGGGGGTATCGCATGGCCGCCAGCTTCCAACATTGAACTGAGGCGTTGCTTCTGGAGTCGTACCGTGAGGAAGGTCGGACCGTCAGATGGGCTTATGATGATCCTATTGTACTTGAGGACCACATGCATGACACAAATTCGAGTACCAGAAAAATATCGAAGCAGTGTCTACCCCAAACGCTGGCGGCGTGTCGAACGAGTATCGCCTCCCAGAGCCCGACACGTGAAAACTCTCCAGCTTCGATACTTCCTGGGTGCTCGATCCTCTTTCTGGTGATCCGGGCTCGAGAAGGTCGGAACATCTCAAACATGAGTGAACATCGGCCACCGGCCGAGGCTCAGACATCTGGACCTGGTCAAGCCCCCCGCAGGGTGGGCGGGGGGAGCAATCACAAGAGCCACAACTGAGAAGGCTGAGAATCTGCGAGTACGAGGGAGAGATCGGAGAGCCAATCCTGTCAGTTCTCCGTAGTATGGAGACGACGGATACTGTCTCCTCTTGCAGTGAGAGGGTACTGACACCGTCAACGTCAATATCTGGCGAAACGAAGGGGCCGCAGTGGAGGTGAGGATAGAGGTAAAAAAAAGTACACACTCACACCTCCATCCCTCCTTCCTCATTCCTCCTTCTCCTCTTCCTCTTTGAACTCTTCCTCCGCCTCCTCATATTCGTCATCCTCGCATCCTCCTCCTCTTCGCCAGTATCCATTTCTTGATGGACAACTCATCCCTGTCGCACTGCCAAACAATATCACCAGCCCTCTGGGCGCAGGTTCTGTAGGGAGTTCGTTACTTGAACCCCCTTTCATCCCCTGCGGAGAGGGCTTATCTCTGCCCTTTGTTAGTAAGCACGCCCTCTACCATTCGACTGGTCGCCGACGCGACAGCATGTCAATACCCCCCATCACCATCCCTACCAACAGATGTACATGGCACACGCCGTGGAACAAAAAATGGCCATGCGCGGGCGGGGCGTTGGCATGTTACGCGATGTGCGCAGGCCCACCATCCTTCTCAAAAACCATTGCAAAAAGATCGCGGGTGCACACACCATGCACCATGCTGGCCACCCGGTCGCCATTTCGCGTTTGTTTTTGCTCGGGCCCAAAACCGTGTGGTGACGGACCGTGCCGTGACCTCGGGATCCCGAACGAACTCATCGCACGGTCCGTTACCGCACGCTTTTGGGACCCTGCAGCAGTCGCCCGAGACGTCCTCGGAGAACGATCTGAATCCGAAAACCGTGCGTCACCACACCGTTTGCAAAGGGGGGGCTTCGACGGGGAGCGCGCGCGCGCCACGGCGCGCAGGGTGGTCCTCCGTCTGCTGCGCAGGGCAGTGCTCGATGACGCGCTCAAGGACGCGGCAGCCTCGGGCGCCCGCGCGGCGCCGGCCAGCGCGGCGGCGGCTGGCAGGCTTCCCTGACGCCTTCTCGCTGTAACAAAACCACCTGAAAACGAAGAAAGATGGAAAACCAACCGACCCTTGAGGTAGGAAGGCGCCTCACGTAGTCTGGAACCTGGAGATCCCAAAATACCCCCCATGTCGGCTACCCATGGGTGAATCTGGCGCTGGCGGCGCTCACAAGAAGGAGGCTGCTTCTGAGAAGGCGCTGGCCTCACATCTACAGAGAAGGCCAGCGCCTTCTAAGAAGCAGGCGTGCTTCCAAGAAGCCTTCCCCCCTCCCCATACCCTTAGGCGGCGCTCACAAGAAGGAAGCTAATTCTGAGAAGGCGCCGGCCTGACATCTACAGAGAAGGCCCGCGCCTTCTACGAAGCAGGCGTGCTTTCAAGAAGCTTTTCCCCCTTCCTCCTTACCCAGAGGCCTCCTAGTTGGGGCCGAGTAGATGGGGTCGGAGGATCTCGCCGCATCGCCGATACATCGGCGAAGCATCGCCGATGCATCGGGGCTGCATCGGCGATGCACTGGCGACGTCGGCGATGCATCGGCGACGTTGGCGTGGAGAAAATCGGGCCCCACATCGAGCCGCATCGCCGATGCCTTGCCAATGCCTCGGCGATGCGGCACGATCCTCCGACCCCCCTCTGCTCCGACCCCATCTGGGAGGCCTAGACTACCCCCCCTCCTAACCCCCTCCCCATACTCGGGAGCGGCCAAGAGGGGGGTGTCCAAGAGGGGGGGGTGCAAATCATGACCGGCGGCATGTGCGCGGCCCAGCGAGGGGGGCCAGGGACGTAATGAAATAAGAAGAGGCGCCATGAGTTCGGGGAAAACATCATGGCCCACGCCATGAGATCCACCCCCCCCCCTGGTCATCACCCCCCTCTTCCCTGCCCCCATACTTACTCCCCCCTCCCCCCCCTCCCCCTGCTCCCCTTTGCGCGTGGAGATCCAAAACTACCCCCCTGTCGGCTACCCATGGGTGCCTCTGGCGCTGGCAGCGCCCACAAGAAGGAGGGGGTCTCTGAGAAGGCGCCGGCCTCACATCGACAGAGAAAGCCCGCGCCTTCTAAGAAGCAGGCGTGCTTCCAAGAAGCCTTCCCCCCTCCCCCTACCCTTGGGCCGGGCATGTCTTCCTACAGGCGGATTTTAGAGGGGAAGAAAAGGCATGCCCAAAAAATACCCAAAAAGGGTCAAAACATGCTCGAACCATGGTCCCCCGACTATTTTTGCCTGTTTTTGAATATTCCTCCTGTAGAGGGACGTGCCCGACTGCACCCTACCCCCCTCTGCGCGTGGCTAATGTCTGATGGCGCGGCGCCCACAAGAAGGAAGCTGCTTCTCAGAAGGCGCCAGCCTCACATCTGCAGAGAAAAGGCCCGCGCCTTCCGAGAGGCAGGCGTACTTCTCTATTACCTAGAGGCCTCCTGGATGGGGTCCGAGTAGATGCGGTCGGAGGATCTCGCCGCATCGGCGATGCATCGCCGAGGATCGGCGCTGCATCGGCGAGACACTGGCGACGTCGGGACTCCTGCCACCCCGCTGCCCCTCCTCGGCCTGGCGCCCTTCTGCGGCGCGGGGGGGCGGCGGCGGCGGGCGGAGGCGCCGTAACGGTGGCGGGCCGCGGCGATGGCGTGGCCGCGCATCTCGGAGAGCACGAAGCCCACCCGGTCCGGCGGGAGGACCTGGCCGGGAAGGCGTTCTCGATCCTCCTCCTCCGCCGCCTCCTCCTCCTTTTCCTCCTTGGTCCTGCTCGAGCCTCCTCCTTCTCCTCCTCCTCCTCCTCCTCCCCGTCCTCCTCCTCCTCCTCCTCCTCCTCCTCCTCCTCCTCCTCCTCCTCCCCCGGTGGGGTCCTGAGAGAAACGGGTCTCGAGGCCTCTCGCTGTCTTCGGGCACCTGGCCCCCCCGCCCCCCCGGCAGGGGCCCGACCACAAGAAGCCTTCCGCAAGAGACGCAACCCCGAGACCCCAGGGCGTCCATCGATTCTTGGCGTGGGAGCGCCACGCTTTCCATGGCAGAACCATCGAAGCCCAAGAAACCCAGGGCACCCTGGAGGCAAGCAGGGTGTTTCTTTGCATGGGCCCCCACCGTAACGAGCACGTGGCCTGAAACCTGCCGAGAGCTCCCAAAGGCCAGAGAGCCGCCAGGACGCCGCGCGGCACGGGCGATGCGCAGGGTTTATCCTGGCAGCCCACAGGAGGCTCGGCGCACAGCGCCTCGTAAACCAGGGTAGGAGCGTTCCCCGCGCCCTTGACGGAACGGCGCGCCGAAGGGAGAAGGAGAGGGGGCCCGCCCTCCCAGAGGGCTTCAGCGAGGGCTCAGGAAGCTTCGCAGCGAGCCTTCTGAGAGGGCCCGCCTCCTCTTCCTTCCCCCTGGGCACGCCGCCGCGTCTCAGCGCGGGCGAGAAGCATTGCCGTGTCCACGGCCTCAAAGTGTCAGAGCACGCGTTTCGTGAACGCTGGTTTGAAACAAATCCTTGGACATGTCGAAACCGCCCCCCATCCCCCTAAACACTCTGCACATTTGAACGCGCGGAAAGCCTGGGGGGGAGGCCCAGAGGGTGTGTCGAGCCAGGAAACAGGAAGGAGAAGTGCCTCCCTATGTATACAATTCGATCAGTTGTTCGGTTAAGCTAAAATGTCAGCCAGCGTTGACTCCAAATAGATTAGACGACTTAATTTTCAGGATCAGAGGAATCGAGTATCCTTGGAATTCGCGACTCAGCAAGCAAGCAAGCGTGCAAGCAAGCGTGCAAGCAAGCGTGCAAGCAAGCGCGCAAGCGCGCAAGCAAGCGCGCAAGCAAGCAACCAAGTAACCAAGCAATCAAGCAACCAAGCGTGCAAGCGCGCAAGCAAACAAGCAAGCAAGCAAGCAAGCAAGCAAGCAAGCGCGCAAGCACGCAAGCAAGCATACATAAGGGGGGGGCATTAAAAAAGGGGGGGAGGGGGGGGGCATTGGAAATAAGGGGGAGTGCCATTGGAAAAAGGAGGTTTCCAGAGGTATTGCATTGGCATCGGCATAGGCATAGGAGCGCTCAGAGGTGGTGCCTTGGCATAGGCATAGGCATAGACATAGGCATAGGCGTAGGCATCGGAGTTAGGGGGGAGGCATAGGCATAGGCATAAAACATGTGCATAACCATAGAAAGTAGGGGGGCATAGGAATGAGGGGGGAGGGGGCAACGCACCAATTAGTAGGGTTTGAGCTAGAACTCCTATAGGGCAAGCCGATCTGGAGATTTGAATCTTACTTTAGCTGGATCCAACACTATTAGCATCCTGGCCGGGCTTGATCCAACTCTTACTAAGATCATACTATAGCTGGATCCAACTTTCCTTGAATAGTACCATGACTCTGTCCAGCTCTAAGAGAATATAGCTGGATCGAGCTTTAATGGCATGCTAGTCGGGCTGGTTCCAGCTCAAATCTAATTCTACTATAGGCGAATCCAACTGCAATTCAATCCTAGTCAGGCTCGATTCAGCTCTGATAGAACCCTGATATAGCTAGATCAAACTCTACTTGAATCCAACTAGGGCTGGATCCAGCTCTGATGATATCTTACTAGGGCTCGATCCAACCTTAATAACATCCTACTAAAAATCGAACGTCGTCGTCACGTCGTCGTCGTCGCTGCCCGACGGCGCCGGCGCCGGCGCCAGCGCCAGCGCTCGCCGTCGTCGGCTGCCACTGGGGAGGGAGGGGGAGGTCCGCATGTCGGACCTATCCCAACCGACAGGTACAAGTGCCAACTAACCGAGCCACTCCTCAACTGCCCAAAAAACCAACCGGCAACAATCACATACAACCAGCTATCTTGAACCGGCATTGGAATTCTATATGTAGAACTCCCTTACACGATTCAGAGATCACATGCACAGATGAAGAGCACACATTCACTCTCGCAGACAATATGAATATCACGGTTGGAATTTGCACTACATTGGTCCTGGACATATGGGAGATGTGTTGTTCTGAAAAAGAGCAGTGGTCGACAACATTACTGGATTTTTCCAGTTGGCTCTTGAGAACAGGACGGCTATCGCACGACAGTGGCGCAAAGCAGTAAAATACTCGACATTATAATAAGAATAATAATAATGTGGACATCCATCACAAAGACAGACAACTCCGAATGAGAAACTCATAGTGTAGAAGTGACAACTGCAGTTGTCAAGTGATACCAGAAATCATGTTTCATGTGCGCATGTTGCACAAACGAGCTGATTCATTGTACATGGCACCTCGAAGGTATAAGATGGATTGTGTGCGGTATGTTATTTGCGTCGTTGTATTGCTTATTGATTTGCACTAGATGTTGTCGTACGAACAACATCGATGCGTTCGTTTAGTGTGTATTGCGTGCTGCTCCATGGTATTAGAATGCTGTACCAGTCCGAAGTTTCTCACTTAATCTAAATTGAAATGCGCCGAACCAGGCATACCATTTAAGTATGTCATACTCGATGCGTTTGCCCATAAGAACTAAATAGGACATGAACCGATCCCAGCACTCTGCAGAATTGAACATGCTATTCGCTGTTCAAGTCGAAATCAAGAGAACATGCGCCAATCCCACCCTCAAACAACATGTACTTAATATGAAACGGATACAGGAGGAATCTCTGAAAAAGAATCCTGAGTAATCTCTGATGAATCTCTTACGGATCCTGAAAGATATATGAAGAATCACGGGGAATCCGGAGGAGTCTTTGAGGAGGAACTGCTGAATAATCTCTTAGGACTCCGAAGGAATCCCTGCGGAATCTCTAACATGTATCTAAGGAATCTCTGGGGAATCCCGAGGCATCTCTCCAAGGAGCATCTAAGGAATCTTCGAGGAATGTATAAGGCATCTCTGGGGAATCTCAGAGAAATAACGAAGGAATATCCGAAGAAACTCTAGAGAATATCTGAGGAATCTCTAAGGGATTTCTACGGGATGTCCTTAGCATCTTTAAGGAGCTTCCACAGCGATTGGGATTGGTACAATTTTGGTTGGAATTGGTACCAAAATGAATGGAATCCGTCCCAAATCGGCTGTAATCTGTCCTACTTTCGTGGAAGGTCCCCCAGGGTTCGAGCCCCCCGCCCCCTCCCCGTTTGCAAGTCCGGGGGGGCGGGAGGGGCCTTTCCACGTGGCTCGACCCCCCCCCCCGCCCTTGAGGGGGAGGGAAGGGGCCCAGTTCAAACGCACACACCCTTTTTTGGATCTGCGGGGCGAGAGCGAACCTCTTCCGCTGAAAGCTAAGCGGGACGCGCACAGCTTTTATTAGCAGAGAAAGGGCGGAAGAAGGCGGGGCCTCACGCGGCCGGGAGAGGGCGAAGCCCAGGGACCCGCCCTCGCAACTCAGGGGGGGGGGAGGGGGCAAGGCCAGCGTCCACGGAGCGCGCTCGCTCCAGGGCGGCCTGGACCCCTCGGCCGCGACCCCGGGCCGCGACCCCGTGGGCACATGGCAGCCTTTGCGGAGGCGCCACGCGCCGAAAAGCGGCGAAGACTGAAGAGGTAGCAAAACAACCACACACACACACACACAGTTTTTTTTATTCGCGGGTCGAGAGCGCACCTCTTCCGGTCGAAGCTAAGCGGGCCGCGCACAGCTTTAATTAACAAAAGGGGGGGGGCAGAAGGAGGGGCCTCACGTCAAGGCCATGAGAGGGCAAAGCCCCGGGATCAAGCGGTGCCGAAAGAGAAGTGCATGCAAAAGAACGCCTTCAACAGAAACTCGGGGGGGGTCACACACACACACACACACACACACACACACACACACGCACGCACGCACGCACGCACGCACGCACGCACGCACGCACAAACACACTCTTTGTTTCGTCGGCGACGAGGCAGAGGCAGTCCTCAGCAGCGTGAGGCTGGTCGGAGCAGCCGAAAGGCGTATTGTCCGGCGTGAAGGAGGCAGGAAGTAAGACGAGGGGGGCGGCCGCGCGAGGGGAGGAGGGAGCACACACACACACACACACACGCACACTCACGTGCACGGGCACGCACGCGCGCGCACGTTTGCGCGTCCACCTGATGCGCACAGGGTGCACGCAGGCAAGCGCGAAGCTTATGCTTGAATTCGTACATACGAGCATAGATACATAGATACGTACATACGAGACACATAGGGACACATAGATACGTACAAGCCACATACAGTCGCTGCGCAACTTCGACAACTTCTTGCACAGAGACTTATACAAGCTCCATTGGGACACATGGATGCGTAAAAACGAGCTTTGCGCACGCAAGCAGGTGCGTGCGACCACATGCCAAACGCCAGCTGCGGTGGCTGTGGTGTGGACGGGCGGGGGGGAGGGGCAAATGTGAGCTGTGCTGCGTTGAATGCACCGCTTCCCCCGCCTCGACGCGGCCAGGATCGAGCCCCCTGACCCTCCGAGGACGCAGGAGGCGTTGCATTGCCTGTTCGTTCTCCTGCTTCGTCCTTCTCCTTCCCTCCTGACTCCATCCTCCTCCCTCCTCCCTCGCGCGTCTGTTCTCCCTCCCCCTCGCTCCCTCTCTTCTCCATCCTTCCTCTTCTTCCTCCCCATCCTCATTCCTGCCCCCTCCCTCCTCCCTACCTCCTCCCTACCTCCTCCTCCTCCTCCCTCCCTCCCTCCCTCCCTCCCTCATTCCATCCCTAATCCCTCCCTTCCCCCCTCCTCCATCCTCCTCCCTCCTCGTCCTTCTCCTTCCTCCTCATCCTCCTCCTGCCTCCCAAGTGCCCCCAGACAGCCGCGTGCTGTCGCAGGCCTCGACGCACTTCTGCAGCACGTGGTTGGCGTGGGGCGACAGGGAAGCCTGCGGGGGCAACGTGCCGTGCTCTCCCGTAGGCCAACATTGGGGCCCCCCGAGACAGGAGCACACCGTTGAAGGTGGTCAGGACACGCAGGCTACTGCATGCGAAAGTCAAGGCTCGACCATCGAACCTCGAAGTTCGAAGGCCAAGGCTCTTGCACGCTCCGGGCTCCTTCGGGCCTCCCCGGGGGCGCGTGGCCACGGCTGGATTCTCCTCGCGATTATGTCCGTCTCTTCCTTCCCCCCTCCCTCTCTCCATGCTCCCCGGACATCCGGCCGTCCAATGATTGTTGATGCGTGGGCCCAGGAGGTCTGGCCCATTTCCCTGGGCCCAATTGTTCGTCCTGAGTCGTTATTTGACTGTTCCCAGGTCCGGAGGCCGAAAACAGCCCGAAACCCACCGCTCCAATTTTTGTCGGGGCTTCGGATCTCTGGGTGCCCCCCTCCCCCACCACTCCTCCCTTCTCACCATCCTTGACTGAAGCCAAAGGGTGCCTGCCACGACGGAGGGTGCGAGTGCTGATGCGCTGCTGCGGTGGGGAGGGGGGGGGCGAAGCCTCGTCATCCTCCGCCCCCCCCCCCCGCTTCCCCAGCTCCAGACTGGATGGGTCCGGCGGGCGTTCGGCCCTCAAAGGGACCGCTCCCTGTCCAACTCCGTTCCACTCCTCCTCTTTCTCCCTCGTCTCGACTCCTCCCTCCTCCTGCTCCTCCGCCTCCGTCTCCTCATCCTGCTCTTCGTCATCCTCAAGCCGTGAAAACCACAAGTAGGAACTTGCAAACAAATCCTCGTCGCCCCACCACACACACAATTCCCACGGCTTGCTCTGATCGTGTTGTGTATGTGTGGACCAAATGTTTTCTGGCGTTCAAAACCTCTTACCTTACAGAGTGCTATTGTCATCCGTTGCGCAAGGAGACCGCTTGCAATACGAGTTACTTAATTCGATCCCCTTTTTTACGAAGGTCTCCTTCCGTCACGGACTACGAGTCCTAATTCCTTACTAGGTAGCTTGCACCTGAGTCCTTACCAGGGAATGCTTGCCCAAAGAATCCCCAAGGAGGCACCCTCACCGAGGGAATGATCAGCCATCGCGCCCCGATGCACAAGTTGGAGTGTCCTCAGGTCCTGGGCCGAACCACCTGGAGCCACAGCCCTCCATCCCGAGCCCTCTCCACGGGGCCCGGGCCCCACACTCGCAGCCCTCCTGGGGCTGGGCGCGTGCCTTTCTCGGGCCCGCCGCGCGCCCCGTCGCGCGGGGGGGACCCGAGCCGAAAGTCCCAGCACTCCGCACCCGGGGGCCCCCAGGAGGCCACGCGGAGGCGCCAACAGGGCCCCCGAGCAGCCCCGGGAGGCCCCCCGGGGACGCCCCGAGGCGGCCCCACGGCGGCCCCCGAGAGGCCTCGGCAGGGGCCCCCATCAAGAGGCCCCTCGAGAGGCCTCCCGCGACGTCCCGGCGAACATCCTGGGGTCGGGAGCGGCCAAGAGGGGGGTGTCCAAGAGGGGGGGGGTGCAAATCATGACTTGCTGCATGTGCGCGGCCCAGCGGGGGGGCCAGGGACGTAATGAGACAAGAAGAGGCGTCATGAAATCTGGGGAGGTATCATGGCCCACGCCATGATATCCACCCCCCCCTAGTCATCACCCCCCTCTTTGCCGCCCCCGACCTGGGGGGGGGGGGCCCACGGCCCACGACCTGGGCACGGTGGCGGGAGGGGCCAGAAGCCATCGGATCCGCCGCCCCCAGTCGATTCATCGCAGGGGTGCCTGGCGTGCTGGACCTCTCGGTTTTGGTTTTGGTTCTTTTTCAAGAAGAACTCCCCCTGGCGCTTAGGCCCGTCCCGCCGGGGTCCCCGGAGGCCCTTCCAGAAAAAATCCTTCCTGAAACGGCCGTTTCGCTCGGGACATCCTCAAAAAATCGCGACGATGGCCCAAGATGGCCTCCAAGACCGCCCAAGATGGTCCAAGACGGCCTCCAAGACGGCCCAAGAGAGTCCAAGACGGCCCAAGACGACCCAAGAGGCCCCCCAGAGGCCTCCCAGACGGCCCAAGAGGCCTCCAAGAGGTCCTCCAGGAGGGCCCGAAGAGGCCGAAATCATTGATTTGTCCTAGGTTTTTGAAGGAGTTGGGAATTTGCTTCTTCTCGGCATTCCGACTGCTCAAGACGGCCCAAGAGGCACCCAAGATCGCCCAAGAGGCCCCCAAGAGGGCCCCATGACTGCCCAAGTGGCCTCCAAGACGGCCCCAAGAGGGCCCAAGAGACCTCCAAGACGTCCTCCAAGAAGGCCCGAAAGGACCAAGACGTCCTCCAAGAAGACCTTCAAGATGCCCACGTGTTCCCAGAAGGCTTTCCAAACCGATTCGGGGAACACATGGTCCGATAGCTTGGCAGGTCTGGCCTCAACGTTCGGCCACATAGGCGCTTCAACAAAGGCAGGGGGCGGCGGTGATTCGCCGTAGGCGTCTTCGATACAGGAGTCCTTGGCCAGGAGGTCCTCACTGAATGGTTCCGTACTCAAGGAAAAGCCTCACCAGGAGATTGCGCGCTTCAGAAGTCAGGTTCGAAGGAATGCGTACTGAGGAGTCCTCACGAAGGCGTGATCATAAAGGAGCCGTTGCAACAGAATCCCCATGTAAGGAGTCCGTATCCGGGAACGCGCAATGAAAAGGCCATTCCTACAAGGAATCCCTTGCACGGCACCATTCGTGAAAGAATCCTTACTGAAAGAATCCAAATTAAAAGGGGTCCCCCGAAACGGAATCCTTTTTGCAATAGAATTCCCGTTGCAATGAAGTGCACCGAGATTCCTCCTGCAGAAGGCTAGAAGGGCAAAAGAAATGACACAATACAATAAAACCATTGTATAAGGAAAACGCTCCCTAGAGAAAGAGAAGGGCTGAAAAGGAGGACGCGGAAGAAGATGACTCTCCTCCAAACCCGTGCAAAAGGAGTCAATACTGAATGAATGCTTACCAGGGGATCCTTATTCATGAATATGAACTCAGAAATCCCGACTATAAGAATATTTGGAGCCCTTACTGAAAGAATCCTTACTAATTTACATTTGGAATCCTAAAAGGAATTTCGAATATACGGAATCGTTACAAAAAGAATACAGCATCACCGATCCGCATGGACTGATTAAAGAATATGGAATATGGACTAATTAAAGAAAGAATTGCTAGGGCCACCAGGCTGTAGGACCAGGGTTTGCTGTTCCCTGCACCCGTTCCAATTTCCAGTTTCCACTGTTACAATATTGCTTTATGCTGTTTACTGTTCCTTTGTGTAGACCGCGCGAGGGGGGGAGCCGAAAACCAGCAAACCTAGCGTCTCCTTGGGAGGGTTCTCAGAATTTCTGGGGGAGTCGAAATTGACACCCCTCACGCAGATCAAAAACACATGGGATTTGCCACATTTATGAAATTCGGTGGCACCCCTCATGCAGATCGGCGGGGCCAGGGTCGAAAAACCAATGGGATTTGCCAAATTTCCGAAATCCGGCTGCATCCCTTACGCAGATCGGCTGGGCCAGGGCCGAAAACCTTTATGGGATCTGCTACATTTCTGACATTCGGCGGCACCCCTCACGCAGATCGGCGGGGTCAGGATTCAAAAACACATGGGATTCGCCACAGTTCTTGAAATTCGGTGACCCCTCTCACGCAGATCGGCGGGGTCAGGGTCGAAAAAAACATGGGACTTGCCACATTGTCTCTTAAATTCGCGGCACCCCTCACGCAGATCGGCGCGGTCTGAGTCCAAAAACCCATGGGATTTGCCACATGTTTTGAAATTCGGTGGCACCCCTCACGCAGATCGCCGGGGTCAGGGTCAAAGACACATGGGATTTGCAACTTGTCAATACTTCGTAGAAAAGCTTTTTGCACAGCATACGCGAGCCATCTCGAAATGCAACACCGAATTTACTAATATCATCAGAATCTCATTTTGTCTTGCCGATTACCCATCGTCTCCGCGTGAAGCTCCGACGCTGCTTCACGGCGGCGCCAAGGCCTCATGATTTCGCTCTTGCATTGCCCATTATCCGAGAGAGGGGGCCGGCTGCAGGGGGCGAAGCCCTTACGGAGATGTACTGAAATAATCCATAAGAGGGAGCAATGTGTATCCTCACCCATGAACCTTTATTAAAACAATCCGCACTTAAGGAGCGTTTGCTATGTACAAGGCACCCTTTGAAGCCTGGTTCGGTCTTCACACACGAGAGCGCTTACTATAGGAATCCCTCCCGAAGAATCTTACTGCGGCATCGTTAGTGATGAATACGTGCTGATTAAGGAGGAGCCCTCACTGAATGAAAGAATGGTTAAAAAGACTCATTAACCAGGAGATCATTACTGAATGACTCCGTATCAAATGAATTCTTGCCAAAAGATTCCTTGCGCTTTGCTAAAGGAATCCTTACTGAAGGATTCTTCCCAGAACGAATCCTTCCTCAATAACCCTCACTGATACGATCATTACTGATCGAAATCCTTAATACGAGAGTTGTATCGCTCTTTCGTGAAAAAGATCGCCAGCTCAACGGGCCAGAGGCGTGCTAAAATCTCCGGCAAGTGTTTAAGAATGTGTCTAGTTAGCGCGCGCGTGGCGGCCCCTGGGGGTCCCAGGACGAAAAGTACCCCGCAAGGTCCCAGCAAGATCCCAGCAAGTCCTGGCAAGTTCCCGGCAGGTTCCCAGCAGGGTCGGGTCAGAGATGCCGAACTCCTGGGCGCGACCTCAGGGGCCCCCGGAGCGCCAATGAGGTGCCAAATGGGTGGCAGGCCCCACGGCCTCAGGCCAAGAGCGTTCCAAGATGGCCCACGTTGGTCCCAAGACGGTCCAAGAAGTACCCAAAACGCTCCAGGAGGGTTCCAAGAGGACTTCGAGAGGCCCCGAACACGCAAAAATAATTGATTCTGTGCATGTTTTCGGACGACTCTGGCGGTACCGCCTTTTCGAGCTGCCGACCGCCCTGGACGGCCCAAAAGGCCCCAGGATCGCTCCAAGACGGACCAGAAGGCCTCCAAGAGGGCCCCCAAGTGACCCAAGATGGCCCTAAGACGGCCCACGAGCCTCCAAGACGGCCCCAACGGCCCCAGGATGGCCCAGAGAGGGGCCAGAGGGGGAACCCGAACGGACATTTCGAGATCTCGGCCCCAAGAGGCGCCCAGGAAGGCCCCAGAGGCCCCCAAGAGGCCCCTAAGAGGCCCCAAAAGAGGCCTCAAAAACCCCCAAGGGACCCCAGGAAGCCCCAAGAGGTCCCAAAGAAACCCCCGAGAGGCCCCTTAGAAGCCTCGAAACTGCCTCCCAGAGGCTCCCAAGAGCCCTCCGCAGGGATCCCAAAAAGCATCCATGACGACTCTCTGACAACAACCCAGGTACGTTTCGAAACTCTGCTGGAGCTCTCCTGAGCCATCTTGGCGTCCTCTGGGGCAGTCTATCGGATCTCTTCGACAGGGTGGAAGCCACATCTCCAAAGACCTCCTCGAGGACTGCCCTACCGTTCCCCCTGTGCACGAGCACACCACCATGCAGCCAGTAATGCGAAACGGGCCGGCGGAACGAGCAAAGCGATTAAATAAGACGTTCATCTATAAAGTGGGCCAGAAGAGGGATGAGGAGACTAAAAGAGAGTAAGAGGAGAAGAAGGAGGAGGAAGCATAATCATCATCAGCAGCATCATCGTCGCCGCGTGTCATCATCGCCATAAGCAGACTCATCCATATCATCATCCTAGTCATCCTCCATTCGTCGACGTCGTCATCGTCATCGTCATCACCATCGTCATCCTCGTCACCATCATCATCATCAGCATCATCATCAGCATCAGCAGCATCATCATCAGCAGCATCAGAATCGTCATCGCCATCGTCATCAGCATCATCACCAGCATCATCACCAGCATCATAATCATCATCATCATAATCAGCGTCATCAGCATCCTCATCCTAATCATAAAAATAATCATAATCATCATAATCATCATACTCATCATCACCATAATCAGCATCACCGTCACCATCTCATAATCATCATCATCATGATCAGCATCATCATCCTCAGAATCATCATCGCCATCATCGTCGTCGCCATACGTCATCAGCATCATCCTCGGAGTCATCACCATAACGATCACAATCGTCATAATAATCATCAGAATCCTCATCCTAGTCCTCGTTGTTGTCATCATCATCACCACCATCACCATCACCATCACCATCATGATCAGCATTAGCATAGTCATCAGTATCATCATAATCATCAACATCATCAGTATCATCGTGGTCATCATAGTCGTCGTCATCATCCACATCATCAGCAGCAGCATCATATGTATATTCAATGTGATGCTCATCTTCAGCCTCACCGCCACCATCATCATCATCCTCGTCATCGTCGTCATCAAAGGATTAATTAGCATGATCATCATCAGCATCATCATCGTCGCCGCGTACCATCATCACCACAACCAGAATCATCTGTAGCATCATCCTAATCATCCTCCAGTCGTCGACGTCGTCATCGTCATCGTCATCACCATCGTCATCCTCGTCGCCATCATCATCATCATCATCATCATCATCATCAGCAACATCATCATCGTCATCGTCATCATCAACATCATCATTATCACCAGCATCACCAGCATCACCATCGTCATCGTCGTCATCGCCGTTATCTTCACCCTCACCAGCCCAACAACAATGACAACAACAACCTCAACTCCAACCACAACCATTAAGACGGCAACAACTACAACAGCAACAGCAGCAGCAACAAGAACAACCACAACAACAACAACAACAACAACCACAACAACAACAGCAGCAGCAGCACTATCATCAACAACAGTATGCTCATTATCTACCCCCCACCTCCTCTCCTCTCCTCTCCTCCCCATCATCCCTCCACTCCCAGCGCATCTGTCTGTTCTTTCTATTCGCTGTGCAGCCGAATGAACTGTCTCAGACCAGGAGCGTTCCCCTTGGAGGCTTCGCCCCCCCTTCCTTGGGGTGTACGTGGGCTGCAGCCGTGCCTGGCAAGCGCACTGGAAACAAGACCACAAACAAAACAGAACCACCAACAAGACAACCACAAAGCATCCTCCCGCTCCCTCCGTCCAACCCCCCACCCTCCGTGCGCCTATCCCCACGCCCCCCTTGGCGCGCAGGAGCGGGCAGGGGAGGGAGAAGTAGCAGAGAGGAGGAGAAGGAGGAGGGGGAGGAGGAGGAAAAGGAGGAGGAGGAGGGGGAGGGGGAGGGAGGGGGAGGGGGAGGGGGAGGGAGGAGGGAGGAGGAGGGAGAAGGAAGGCGAAGACAGGACAGACACAAAACCAGGCAGAGACGTACTGCAAATGCCTGAAAGCCAGCGGCACCGAAAGCCGTACTTGTGGCAGCCTGCCTGATCTCCTCCCTCCACCCTTAGTGGCCCCTCTTGTGTCACGAGACCTGATGGGTACACATGCCAGAGATACCGCTCTCAACGAGTCTCCCCCATCTCACGAAAGTTCATGACTAAATTTGCGGCCTGTCTGTGCCAAGGTAGTGTCGGGCTGAATGTGTGTATGTGTGTGCGTGTGTGCTCCCAGTCAATCGCCCTCGCTTCCTCCGTCCTCTATCCCTCCCTCCTCCCTTTTCTTCCCCCCTCCCTCACTCCCTCCCTCCCACTCCCCCTCCTCGATCCGTCACTCCTCATCCCGCTCCTCCCTCCACTCGCCTCCGCCCCTCCCTCCACCCTGAGAACGATCCGATCTCCCCTCCTCCTTCTCTTTCTTTTCCTGGGAGCGCCCTTAGTAAGTTTGCTGTGTGATAGCACTTATTCAATTGTCTTAAACGATTTCAGTGATAACCACACTGCAGTACGTAAACCGTGCAATTCCATAGCTAAAGCTGAGGTCGCAGCAAGATCAAACTCGTACATGTATCCGACCACTACTCCTTCCAGATTGTCTTCGCCTCCAATGTGGACCAGCTGCATAGCATAAGCCCAACCTTGTATCGCGAACCAACCCACCATCTGAACAGAACTGTAAAACCACAGCACTCCGTGTAACATCTTTGACAACTATCGTATCCAAGGTACATCCGGCACTAGATGTGGCAATTGCGGATTTCACGAGATGGTCTGCTCCTTGGCTCCATTCCTGGAGCCTCCAATCAACTGGCTCCAAACAATCTGCATTGTAGTCGCAATAACACTGAAAGATGTTGCAAGTTCGCCTTCCTTTCGAGGGCCGATCCGATGACCTCCTTCCGTCCCATCCATCCCTCCCTTACCCCATCCCTCCTCATCACCTATCCCTCTTACTCCCTTCGGAGTGCCGATCCGATCCTCCCTCCCTCTACCCGCCATTCATCCCTCCTCCCTCCTTCACCCCCTCCCGCCATCCCTCCCTCCCCCCCTCCCCACCCACCCGTCCCTCCCTCCTTCCCCCCCAGCCCATGCGCCTCCCACACGTGGCCGTGCAGCTGCTCGGCGATCGCCAGCCTCTGCGGTCCGTCGGCCGCCTGGCGGGAGCTTGAGTGATGCAGGGAGGGAGGGGGTGGGGACACGGAAGAGGAGGAGGGGGAGGGAGAGGGAGGGGGGGAAGGAGGAGGAGGAGGAGGAGGAGGAGGAGACGTATAGCCGAATGATCGCACGAAGAGGAGGGGGAGGAGGAGGAGGAGGAGGAGGAGGAGGAGGAGGAGGAGGAGGAGCAAAGAGCAATGAGCAATGAGCAATGAGCAATGCGCGGGGAGTTGAAATGAGCTACTCTACCCGCGCCGAAGCGCGCCTAGAACTCTGCGCAGCCCGTCTTGTAAAGAGCAGGTTGCCCGTGGAAGACTGGGGACACCCCCCCGGCAGAACCCTGGAGGGCCGCTGCCACTCTGGCCGTCTTGAGACCATCCTGGGCCGTCGCTGAGCGCTCTCGGGCCGCCTTGGGGTCCTCCTAGGCCTCCCTGAAGCCGCCCGGAAGGTGTCTTCGACCGCCCTGGGAGCCTCTCTTGGGGCCGTCTTGGGACCAGATCTGGGCCTCCCGAGGCCAACTGACTACCTACCAGACCACCCCAACCCAACCCGAAGACCCGAATTTGACCCGAATTTCGGGTTGGGGGGGTACGGATACCATGTGTTTTTTCAACGTTCCCCGACCCCCCCCACTGGAAATCGAGGATAAATTTGGGCCTTCGGGTTGGGTTGGGGTGGTTTGGTGGGTGGTGGCCAACCCCCTCTCGCTCCCTCTTGGCTACTTGCCCCCGCCTAGCGCACCGCGGCGCTGCGCGCGCGCCTTCCGTCACCTCGGGGCAGCCGCCGAGGCCGACCCCCTCACGCTCCCCCCAGAGGAGGAGGAGGAGGAGGAGGAGGAGGAGGAAGAGGAGGAGGAGGAGGGAGGAGGAGGAGGGGGAGGAGGTTGGCAGTTCCCCCGACCAACGCATCGCGAAGCTGCGCGCGCTGTCCGTCATCTGGGCCCTCGGTGGCCAACCTCCTCACAATCCCTCTCGTTCTTCCTCCAAACTGACGGATCGCGACGCGCGCTTTCCGTCGTCCGCCCCCCCCGTAGTCTTGCCACTAGGGTGCACGGCGTGCCGACGAACGTCTGGCAGGGTTCCGGGTCTTTTCTAAGAACTTCCCGTGGGGTATCGGCACAGCCCGCCGGCCACCCGAACAGCTCCTCGAAATCCCCCCTCGATGGTCAAATGGCCTCCAACACGGCTAAGCGGCCTCAGATGGTCGCCAAGATGCCTCCAAGACGGGCAAGATGGCCCGAAGAGAGCCCAGAATAGCCCCGAGATGGCCTCCAAAAAGGTCTCAAGATGCCTCCAAGACCGCCAAGATGGTCCAAGAGAGCGCAAGACAGCTCAAGAAGCGCCCAAGAGGCCCCTAAGACGGCCCAAAAGACCTCTCCAGGAATACCCGAAGAGGCCGACAACCTTGATTGCCCTGTCTTCGCTGAAAGATTGTGGCATTTGCTTCTAAACGGCCTTCCGACGGCCCAAGACGGCCCAAGAGGCCTCCAAGATTGCCACAAGATCATCCAAGATGGCCCCAGGACGGCCCTAGAGGCTCTCAAGAGGACCCCGAAATAACCCCAAGACGGCCCAAGATGGCCTTCCAAACGACCCTGAAGCGCCCCAGGAGGACCGCAAGGCGGCCCAAAGAGGCCCCAAAAACGGCTTCCGACGGCGTCAGACGGGCCAGGAACGCCGTAAGACGGCCAACGGCCAAAGAGGCCTCCGAGAAGACCCCAGAGTTCCCCAAGGGGCCCAAGGAGGCCCAAGGAGGCCCACTGAGGCCCCCAAGAGGCCTCCAAGAGGCCTCAAGGAAGCTCCCAGGAGGCCCCAAGAATGACCCTCAAAGTTCCCAAGAGGTCTCATCATCCTTCGCCTTATCCTCCTTTGTCCTCCCTCTCCTCATCCTCCTCTTCCTCCCCCACGTGTCCCTCGAAGGGCTTCCACAACGGCTGGGGAAGCGCATGGTACAACAGCGTGGCCAAACTTTGCCGAAACGTTCGGCCACATGGGCGTCTCCTATAAGGCAAGGGGGCGGCGGTGCTTCGCCGTAAGAGTCTTCGATATTCAGTGGGCCCTTGGAAAACGGCGCGATGTCCACACGCGCGCGCACATGCCAAAATCAAGCCAAGCACCGTGATTATGCAAGCATGACCACATTAAAAATCGTCATTTATTATGGGCTTGTCATTACAAGTATTGCAGATGCTCTGCCCGCCCGCGCTGACTGAAATCAAAAGACAGCCATCTGATTTAAACCATCTCGTTCAGACCCTTCATTAGCATCCCACCACGCGGTGCACCCGCATTGACCCTGCATGCACCCAGCACATGAATCCGTAACAGATCATACCGTGCAGGTCGTCTGCGCGCGCCGCCACGCGCGCGTCGAAATCCGTCCCAAACCATTGATTTCCGAAGCATGTCGAATTGTATACCTTCAGGGGTAGAAGGAAAAATGGCTTCTCAACGAAATAGCCAGGTTTCCTTCTACGTTTGCGCGAGCGCACTTCATCACCATCACCTTAACCAGCACTACCGCATCAGCGCCGTTCTCCTCATCGGCAATCGCCGCCACTGCCGCCATCGTCACTCTATCACCTTCATCACCGACAGACGGACATCATCATCGTCATCGTCACAACGAGCATCGGCGCCGTCATTGGCCTTGCCGTCGTCATCGTCGCAATCGCCACCACCATCGCTACCACAATCATCGTTACCGCCGCTGTCGTCGTCATCATGATATCGCGCCCCCACGAGTCATCGACCGCACTGAAGCGCCCGCGCGCCAGCGCGGCCTTTGAGAAGCACTGGGAAGTTCCCACCGGTAAGCGCCATTTCGGCCGCCTCAACTGTGCCAGGCCAGCTGGTCGCTCTGGGAGTCATCGCAATCGCGGCCGCATGGGTTGTGCAAAAACAAGCTGCGGGGAGGGTGAGATTTGCACGAGCAGTGGAGTTGATGACTCACGTTCTACACAAAAGGTTACGTGCACATCAGTTGCGCCAAACGAGCAGCGGCATGGATTTTGAAAGACAAGTTGCGGGTGGGAGGGTGAGAGGTTTGCGCGAGCAGTGGAGTTGACCACACACGACTTACAAAACTGAATTGCACTACGTCGATTGCACCCCTCGTGAGACACGTCCAGAGTGCTAGAACAGTTCTACTGCCTTGTGCTAGCCCCGAGGAGGAGGGGGGCAAGAGGAGGAGGAGGAGGAGAAAATAGGAGGTGAAGTCAAAGGCGCATTGGGGATAAGTCTCTGAACCTTGCCACAAGTAAAGGGAGCACTACAGCATCGCTGCGAGATCAGATGGATGCGAGGCCAAGACGTAACACCTTCGGAGAGGAGGAGGAGGAGGAGGAGGAGGAGGAGGAGAAGGAGGAAGAAGAAGAGGGGGGGCAATAGCGGACCATGCGACCATTCGATTTCTCTCGGATCGCCCCTCCCGAGCAGCAGCGGCCAGCGGCAACAGCAGACATCAGGTTCCTGCACGTCACGCGCATGGGCTTGATGTGCAGCTGCACTCGCACGGATTGCTCGGGGCATGTCAGCTATCCACCTCACCGATCCTGACCAGGCCCATCCTGGGCCAGGATCGGCCAAATCATGATCGGCGAGGTCATGGTTGCCATCCCCTGAAACTGAAACACTGGTGGAGCAAATAACGCATGTCACACACACACACAACAGGTGCGACTTAGCGCAGCAATGCTCAGTTCACCACGCTCCTTGAAATGCTGGCACTCCTGGCGGTCCAGACCCAGTGTGAAAATGGCAAGGTCGAGGAGAGCAGGAAGGGAAGGGGAGAGACCGCCCCGGACGACTCGGGGGGCTGGTTGAGGCCAGCTGGGGCTGCTCGAGGGGCCTGCCAGGACCATCTCGATCGCACGGAAGAGGAGGAGGATCAGAGGAGGAGGAGGAGGAGGAGGATCAGAGGAGGAGGATCAGAGGAGGAGGAGGAGGAGGGGAGGGGGGGAGCGGCAGGAGGGAGAGACGGATCTTCTACAGCAGCGCTGATGTCGGTGCCTCGGGAGGGCGGAGGCCCTTGGAGACTCTGGGAGACCCTGGTAAGCTCCGGGAGGCTTGGGAAGCTCTGACTAGCACGAGAGAGGCCTAAGGCGGCACTAGGAGGCTCGGGGTGGCGCTGGGTGGCGATGGGATCCCCGGGGCTCCCTCGGGAGCCCCAGGGAGGCCCTGGCAGGCGCTTCGCGGCTCCGGGAGACCCTGGGAGGCGCGGAAAGGAGCCGATGTCCTGGAAGCCCGGGTGGTTCTGCGAGGCGCTGGGGCCCTGCGCGGCTCTGGGATGCCCTGAGGGCTGCCCTGGGGCAGGGCTCGAGCCGAACCGTGTCTTCTGTTCTCTTTTGTTGCTTTCGTTGTCCCTCGTTCTGGCTCCGTTCCGCCTTGGCTGCGCAACGGGCTCGGCACGAGAACGGCCCTCGAGATCGCCACGGAACACTGCTTCGCTCGAGCACCAGGATGCCCTGGGAGGGGGGCCCACGGGGCGGCTCCTGCCAGCGCCGACCGAGCCCGGCGGGGGCCGCGGCGCCACACACGGGGCACGGCGACGGGGGGCCCGCGGGGGCGGGGACGAGAGAGCGGGAACGTCGCGGCGTCCGGGCGTCGGCGCACAGAGCCGGCCCCCTTCAGAGGCCTCCGGGGCGCCCCCGAAGAGCCCCCCCGGAGGGGCCCCAAGAGATCCCCAGAGATCCCAACGGGCGGCATCCAAGGGGCCGCTGGCCCACAGCCCAGCCACGGTGGCGGGACGGGCCGATGGCCACCAGATCCGCCGCCCCCTGTGGTCTTGCCACAGGGGTGCACGGCGTGCTGGACGTTTCAGGTTTTGGTTTTGGTTCTTTTTCTAAGAGAACTCCCCAGTGGGCTTCGGCCCGTCCCGCCGGCCACCCGGAAAGGATGCCCAGGAGCTCAATTCCCCAATTTCCTGCCCCAGACGGTTCCAAGATGGCCTCCAAGATGCCTCTAAGACGGCCAGGATGGTCTCTAAGACGGCTAAGATGGCCTTATGATGCCTCCAAGACGGCCCAAGATGTACCCAAGACGGCCTAAGATAGCCTCAAGATGGCCAAAGACGGCCCAAGAGGCCCCAAAGAGGCCTCCAAGACAGCCCAGGAGGCCTTCAAGAGGTCCTTCAGGAGGGCCCGAAGAGACCAAAATCGTTGATTTTCCTTACGTTTTGAATGATTTTCGTATTCGTGCCTTTTCGGCTTTCCGACGGCCCAAGACGGCCCAAGAGGCCCCCAAGATCGTCCCAAGACAGCCCAAGAGGCCTCCAAAAGCGCCCCGAGACGGCCCAAGAGGCCTCCAAGAGCGCCCCAAAACGGCCCAAGACGGCCCCAAGACGGCCCCAAGAGGGCCCCAAGACGGCCCAAGACACCTCCAAGACGCCCAAGATGGCCTCCAAGACGGCCCCGAAGCGCCCCAAGAGGGCCCCCCGTTGGCCCAGAAAGGCCCCCCAGACCGCTCCCGACGGCGTCAGACGGGCCAGGAACCCACCAAGATCGCCGAAGTTGGCTCGAAGCTGGCCCAAAAGAGTCCAAGAGGCCCCCGAGAGGGCCTCAAGGAAGGCCAGAAGAGGCAAACCCTGGGTTTTTGACGGATTTGGGCATTTCCTTCTTCTCGGCCTTCCGACGGCCCGATACGGCCCAAGAGCCCCCAGAGATCGCCGAAAGATCGCCCAAGAGGCCTCCAAGACAGCCAAGATGACCTTCAAGACGCCCACGTGTTCCCCGAAGGCTTTCCAAACCGATTCGGGGAACACATGGTCCGATGGCTTGGCAGGTCTGGCCTCAACGTTCCGCCACATAGGCGCTTCCACAAAGGCAGGGGGCGGCGGTGATTCGCCGTAGGCGTCTTCGATCCACCGCCCCCCTGTGCTTGCCACAGGGGCAACCGGCGTGCTAGACGCTACCGTTTTTGGTTTTGGTTCTTTCTCCACAAAGAACTCTCCCCTGGGCTTCGGCCCGTCCCGCCGGCCACCCGGAAGGACCCGGAAGGGTGCTCAAAATGCCCGGGTGGTTGCCCAATCGCCTTCAAGACGGCCAAGATGGCCCAGACGGCCTCCAAGATGGCTTCCAAGATGCCGCCAAGACGGCCAAGATGGCCCAAGATGGCCTCCAAGTCCGCCTAAGATGATCCACGATGGCCTCCAAGATGGCCCAAGCGGGTCCAAGATGCCTCCAAGTCCGCCCAAGAAGCATCCAAGAGGTGCCCAAGAGGCCTCCAAGACGGCCCAAGAGGCCTCCAGGAGGACCCGAAGAGGCTAAAATCATTGATTTCCTGTAGGTTTTGAAAGATTCTCGTGTTTGCTCCTTTTTGGTCTTCCGACGGCCCAAGACGGCCCAAGAGGCCCCCAGGATCGTCCCCAGAGCGCCCCAGAGGCCTCCAAGATGGACTCAGGACTGTTCAAGAGTCCCCCAAGACGGCCCCAAGAGGGCCCCAAGACGGCCCAAGAGGCCTCTACTTACGCAAGACGCCTGAGGAAGCCCCCAAGACGGCCCTGGAGGACCCCAAGAGGGCCTCAAGTCGGCCCGAAGAGGCCTCAAGACGGCTTCCGACGGCGTCAGACGGGCCAAGAGCGAGCCCCCAAAGATCGCTCCAAGATCGCCCAAGAGGCCTCCAAGATGGCCCCAGAAAAGCCCAAGAGGCCCCCAAGACGGCCCCAAGAGGGCCCCAAGACGGCCCAAGAGGCCTCTAAGACGCCCGAGGAAGCATCCAAGACGAGCCTGGAGCACTCCAAGAGGGCCCCAAGTCGGCCCAGAGAGGCCCCCAAGACGGCTTCCGACGGCGTCAGACGGGCCAGGAGCCCACCAGGACGGCCAAAGAGGCCCCCGAGAAGCCCCCAAAGGCCCCAAAGAGGCCCAAGGAGGCCCCCAAGATGCCTCCAAGAGGCTCCAAGGAAGCTCCAAGGAGGCCCCAAGAGTGTCCCCAGAGGCTCCCAAAATGCCCCCTCATCCTCCTACTCCTCCTCCACTTCCTCCTCCTCCGCATCCTTCTAATCTTCCCCGCCATCCTCCCCCAAGTGTTCCCCGAGGAGTTTCCACAACGGTTGGGGGAACACATGGTCCGATAGCTTGGCAGAGCACTTGCCACAACGCTCGGCCACATGGGCGATTCTAGAAGGGCGGCGGTGATTCGCAATATGCGTCTTCGATCCGTCGCCCGCTGTTGCCTGCAAATCGATCATATGTTGGGCCCGCTGACGCAGAGTGGATGAGGCGCTCCGAGGGTTGGGAGGGCCACAGGGCGCGAGCAGGTAAGTAAGATGGCCACGCCTCCTGAGGGGCTCATTTTCAGCACGGCAAGGACGCTCTAAGCTCTCGCCGGGGGGGCTGTGACCACGCAAACAGGGGCAAGCAAAACGACACCGAAAGTCATGCGATCCTGCACTGGCATGGTTCGACGAAATAGCACAGACGCCGCCCACTGCTGGCCTTCACGTTCTCGTCGGCGGTTGGTCGCACATTTCCATGTCGTTCAATCAAGGCTCCTGGAACGTCGACGAGCCCAAAAGCGCTGGCGACCGTCTCCTCGATCGAAGCGCTGCTGAGCAGCTGGCCACCAGGCAGGACGGCGTCGACTCGCCAGACTTCAGGGCACTGGTCCGCGACCAGCTGTTCGTAAATGTCTGCGAGGCGAGCAGAAGGCCGCGCCTCTATTCTCAGGCGCTCCAGCCCGCCGAGGGTTGCGAACCGCATCGCAGCACCGTCTAGCGACGCCTGCAGGAGCAAAACTGGAAGCAGCAGGTGAGCTGTGTAGGTCAGGCCCGCGACCAGCGCAGGAAAGTGGCACTGGCCATGTCTGTTCGAGCCGCAGGCCACGGCCGTGCCGTCGCTTCTGAGCAGGACCGTGTGCTGATATCCGCCGGAAGCGTGCGTGTAGGCAAGGTCCGAGGCAAGCGCCGGGAGGTCGCACTGACCATGATCGTTCAAGCCGCAGGCCACGGCCGTGCCGTCGCTCCTGAGCAGGATGATGTGAAGCCCTCCAGCGGCAACTTGCGTGTAGATCAGGCCTGGGGATAGCGCAGGTATGAGGCACTGACCAAAATGATTCCAGCCACATGCAACAGCTGTGCCGTCGCTCCTGAGCAGGACTGTGTGTTGACCTCCAGCGGCAGCTTGGGTGTAGGTCAGGCCAGTGACAAGCGCAGGAATGTTGCACTGACGATTCGCATTCCAACCGCAGGCCACGGCCGTGCCGTCGCTCCTCAGCAAGACTGTGTGTTGCTCCCCAGCGGCAACGTGCGTGTAAGCAAAACCTGCGACCAGCGCTGGGACGTCGCACTCACCAGTCATATTCCCGCCGCAAGCGACGGCCGCGCCGTCGCTCCTCAGCATGACTGTGTGTTTCCCGCCAGCGGCAACTTGCGTGTAGCTCAGACCAGCGACCAGCGGAGGAGGGTCGCACTGACCGTGCAGATTCTGGCCGCAGGCCAGGGCCTTGCCATCGCTTCTGAGCAGGACCGTGTGGCGCCCTCCAGCGGCAGCTCGCCTGTAGGTCAGACCCTCGACCAGGTCGCACTGACCGTAGGCGTTGAAGCCGCTGGCCACCGCCGTACCGTCACTCCTGGTGGGCTAATACAAGATCAGCCGCCGTGATTCCAGCACGTGGTGGAGTCCCCCAAGGCTCATCAGTTGCCAGTGCTCAAAGGGGTTCACTTCAAGGTTCTGAGAGGCCCCGACCCCCCAGTCTCCCCGGAGCTCCTAGAAGTCCTGGGGGGCGTCGCGTACCGCTCTATGCACGCTGAACTGGCCAAAACTTACGGCCCAGAGACCCCCAAGAGTGGCCCAAGACGCGCCCCAGATAGTCTGAGAGGGCCCCGGTACGGTCCAAAACGTCATCAAGATGGACCGACCTGGCCTCGAGGCGGCCGACGAGGCCCCCCAGACACTCGGAGAAGGCTCCAAGAGGACCCTCAAGACGGCCCAGAAGGCAAGAATCTCTGGTTTCCCATTGGCTGTTCCAGGAATTGAGCGTTCACGCCTTGAGGGTCCTCTTGGAGCCTTCTTCGAGCGTCAAGTTGGCCCCTCAAGTTGGCCCCTCAAGAAGGCTCCAAGAGGACCCTCAAGTTGGCTCCCGACGGTCGAAGATTGCTCAAGGTCCCCAATATCGCCCCAAGACGGCCCAAGAGGCCCCCAAGAGGGCTCAGAGGCCCCCCCATAGGGCCCCAAGAGGTGGAGGGGTCGAAAACTTGTGGGGTGCGTCTTCCCTGGGCCTGAGATGGCCTGGGGCTCCGAGACCCGACAGGTCATGTGCCGAGGTGTCGATGCTCGAGGGTACCGTTTTTCCTTGAAGTGACCCTGGGGTGAATCCCTCACTCTGAACGCCTCGCGAGGAACAAATTCGCCTGCACGGAGCGGGCTTGCTAGAGTGCTTCCTTGTTGCTTGTAAGTCGTTTTTGTGTTTTCTTAGGCCCCGCCCCCTCTCGTTGCGTGCGTGGTCTAAAAATCGGCCTTTATAGATTTGCTCTCCAGAGCTCTTTTCGGCCTTCAGGCGGTGAAAATTGCCTCCAAGGTTGGCCTCAAAGACAGCCAAGCTGACAGCAAGACGGCTCAAAACGGCCCAGAACAGCTCAAGAGGCTCCCAAGACGGCCTCAAGACGGCTTCCAAGACGACAGAGCCCCCCCCCAGGAGAGCCCGAGGAGGCAAACAACATTGATGTTCCAGTGATTTTGAAGGAGTTTGAGGTTCTACCTTGTTTCGGTTTCCGGCCGTCCAAAATGACCACCACATGGGCCTCAAAGGCGTCAGACGGCCCAAGAGCCCAGTAATACGGCCCCAGAAGGCCCCACGAGGCCCCAGAGATGCGCCCAAGAAGCCCCCAGGAGGCTCTCAGGAGGCCCCTAGAGAGCTCCCTAAGGGGCCTTCTCCTCCTCCTCCTCCACCTCCTCCTCCACCTCCTCCTCCTCCTCATCATCATCATCATGATCATCATCCTCATCCTCATCCTCATCCTCCTCCTCCGCCTCCTCCTTTTTCCTTCGCGCGAACGAAGAGAAAGTCCAGCTCACGACCCACCTCGGCTTATACCGCTCGCTGAACTGCCACGTGGCGCGAGCTCGACCTCCATCCTACTGCGCGGACGAGGACGAAATGGAATCCAGCGCTGCTCCTCCTGCGCTGCTCCTCCTCTCGGTCGCCTTCCTCCTGCGCTGCTGCACTGGCACGGGCGGCGGGGCTTGCCGCACGCAGCCGGCTCAGTGAGAGGCCGTGCGCCTGCCGCTTCGCTCGGAGTGCCTCGCGCTGGCACCCTGGGCAGGCTGTGGCCGCGCCGTCGAACTTCTGGGGCTGGGCGCACGCCAACATGGCACAGGGATCCGCGGGTCTGGCGCGCGGGCGCCAGAGCCACGGACCATGGTGATGAGCCTGTTGTCCACCACCACCACCACCACCAACAGTTGGAGGAGGAGGAGGAGGAGGAGGAGGAGGAGGAGGAGCAGCAGGAGGAGGAGGGCGAGGAGGAGGACGAAATGAGGAGGAGGAGGAGGAGGAGGAGGAGCAGCAGGAGGAGGAGGGCGAGGAGGAGGAGGACGAAATGAGGAGGAGTCTGCGGATGAGAAGAGGAGGAGGGGAGGAGGAGAGGAGGAGGAGGAGGACCCCCCCTCCAACTTATGGTGGTGGTGGTGGTGGAAAACACGCTCATCACATGGAATGTCCCCCCCCGAAACGTGAGGCCAAGGCCACCCAGGTTTGCGACGGAGCGCGCCGCTTGCTCCCGGAAGCGGGACCCGTCGCGAATCCACGCGCCCTGACCCATCTCTGCGCTTCCTCGACAGGCAGGTGCGGGTGTAAAGGTTATATGCTCACTCTGGGGACCTTCCTGGAGCCAGCCGCTCCGCTCGGGTGTCGAAGCCGAACGTCTGTCGACTGGAGTCGAGCTTGAGTCGAATCTGAGACGAACCCGAGTCGAACCTGAGTCGAACCTGAGTCGAAATTGAGTGGAACTGGAGTCGAACTGGAGCCGAACAGATCCGTCGGGTGGGCCCCAGAAAGGCCCCAAAAAAACGAGCATCTACTGAAGGCATCATAACAGACTTTTGTACCAACCCTTCCCTTGCATGTGCGCTTCATCGCCGTAGTGTCTCACGCCCCCCGTCTCCGCTTGCGGAGCGAGGGGCCTCCGCG